AATTGGAATCTAAAGGAGAGAATTATTTCAAAAGCTATCTTCTACATTTTATTTACTTTATTTATTTATCTCCCAAGTACAAAAATGTTGTACTTGGGAATTCTGCATCTTCGTTCCTAACTGCAAGAGTTCTAAGAGGTCTAGCAATTTTGAATCCTAAACATAACCAATTGAAATAGGATAACAAAGCCACTGACATATTATTTACATTGTACAAAAGGGTTGTACAATATATCTTAGATTTTCTGGATGTGCCTCATTTCTATCTTCTTAGAACTAAAGTCTGATTGGATTTTTAAAGGCCAAATAACTTTAAGGCTGTTATCAAGTTTCCTCTGATGTTTTCCCTTGGTTGATTTGCAGCAAAAAATTCAGAGTGTGAAACAAGAGTTGACAGACAGAATTTGCTCTGGATAATAATGATAATAATGATGATGATGATAGTCCAGCCCCCTGCTCAGGCAGGAAACCCTATACCATTTCAGACAAATGGCTGTCCAGTCTTTTCTTAAAAACGTCCAGTGTTGGAGCATTCACAACTTCTGGATTAATTGTTCTGTCAGGAAATTTCTCCTTAGTTCTAGGTTGTTTCTCTTTTTGATTAGTTTCTATCCATTGCTTCTTGTTCTGCCTTCAGGTGCTTTGGAGAATAGCTTGACTCCCTCTTCTTTGTGGCAGCCCCTCAGATATTGGAAAACTGCTATCATGTCATCCCTCGTCCTTCTCTTCATTAAACTAGACATACCCAATTCCAGCAACCGTTCCTTATACGTTTAAGCCTCCCATCCCCTAATCATCTTTGTTGTTCTTCTCTGTACTCTTTCTAGAGTCTCAACATTTTCTTTACATCATGGTGACCAAAACTGGATGCAGTATTCCAAGTGTGGCCTTACCAAGGCGTTGTAAAGTGGTATTAATACTTCACGTGATCTTGATTCTATCCCTCTGTTAATGCAGCCTAGCACTGTGTTGGCTTTTTTGGCAGCTGCAGCACACTGCTGGCTCATGTTTAAGTTGTTGTTGTTGTTGTTGTTGTTATTATTATTATTATTATTATTATTATTATTATTATTATTATTATTATTATTATTATTATTATTAGTGAAATCATCTTTGTTGTTCTTCTCTGTACTCTTTCTAGAGTCTCAACATCTTTTTTTACATCATGGTGATCAAAACTGGATGCAGTATTCCAGGTGTGATCTTACCAAGGCATTGTAAAGTGGTATTAACACTTCTACCCCTCTGTTAATACAACCTAGCACTGTGTTGGCTTTTTTGGCAGCTGCAGCACACTACTGGCTCATATTTAAGTGATTGTCCACTAGGACTCCAAGATCCCTCTCACAGTTACTACTATTGACCAAGGTACCACCTATACTATACCTGTACATTTGGTTTTTCTTGCCTAAATGTAGAACCTTACTTTTTTCACCACTGAATTTCATTTTGTTAGATAGCGCCCAGTATTCAAGTCTGTCCAGATCCTCCTGTGTCTTAAGCCTATCTTCTGGAGTGTTGGCTATTCCTGCCAGCTTTTTATCGTCTGCAAATTTGATGAGTTCCCCATCTATCCCCTTGTCCAAGTTGTTGATGAAGATGTTGAAGAGCACTGGGCCCAGAACAGAACCCTGGGGCACCCCACTACACACTTCCCTCCATGTAGATGTGGTTCCATTGAGGACCACATGCTGAGTACGGCCGGTCAGCCAACTACAAATCCATCTGGTGGTGATGCTGTCTAACCCATATTTTTCTATCTTATCTGTCTTATCTTTCTAGAGTCTCAACATCTTTTTTACATCGTGGTGACCAAAACTGGATGCAGTATTCCAAGTGTGGCCTTACCAAGGCATTATAAAGTGGTATTAACACTTCTATCCCTCTGTTAATGCAGCCCAGCACTGTGTTGGCTTTTTTTGGCAGCTGCAGCACACTGCTGGTTCATATTTAAGTGATTGTCCACTAGGACTCCAAGATCCCTCTCACAGTAGTAACTGTGTACTACAGTACACAGTTACTACAGTACACAGTACACAGTACTACAATTGAGCAAGGTACCACCTATACTATACCTGTGCATTAGGGGTGTTTTGCCTAAATTTAGAACCTTACTTTTGGATACTTAAATGGATAATATTTCGACCTTGGTTAGCATTAAGGAACCACTTCCACCTCTCTTTCATCCAAAAGGTTTTTTGAGTGATATTGTATGAAGAATTCTATATAAAGTGTCAGCTGATTATACTTTCTATAGACAAACTTCATTTCTGATAAAAAGAAAATCATTGCATATATATTTCTAGTGTACCTAAAAGTCTAGTTTCCACTCCAATTCAAAGTTTATTACAATTTCAGACATGTTAAGGCCCTACTTCTACTCTAATCTTTTAGCCAGCATAATATACAATAATAATTTTGCTGAAAAGAAAGCAAACCAAAGAGATTGTGCACATACAGGGACAACTGATAGCACCTGCTAATCTAAAATAACCTAGAAAAAGATGCAACTGTTTTAAGGATTTGAAGAGAGGTGCTTCATTCATGCTCCCAGGCAAAAAGTTGTTTTGCAGGTCAGAATCCACCTCCAACACTCCAAAGTCAGGTATATGAAGCATAATTGCTTTATGCAGTATGCATCTGGTATCATACAGATTTGATGCCT